AGATTAGGTCCTAAAACATGCTGCCGTTATCACATCAACCTTTTACATAAGAGTTCTCACCTTGGCCTTGTTGTCCTTTGAGGCACTGATCAACATGGTGAGGTCTACAGATGTCTGGATGGTGTTGATGTGCTCCTCAGCTTTCTTCAGGAGTTCTCTGGAATATTTACAAAAAAAAATTCCTCATTATCACAAGCTCTCCAAAAGCTACTGTTATTCAGTATTTCATTTCTATTATACTGTGTGCAAACTATTTCTTTAGCTGCATTCAGGAAGCCGTGTACCATGTGCAGTCTCGTTTCTTTTATGGTATTATTTTGCTTATCTTGTGCGTGATGATTACCTACCGATCTGTTGTGGATCCCACAGGTCGAACAAGTTCATGAAACACTGACAGCCCATCTGCTTGTCTGTGGAACACATGATGATGGTGCCAATAAAATCGAACCCCGTTTGCTGACGGTGGACATTAAATAAGGCAAAAATTAAACACCGAAATATAAAACACTTGACAGGAAATTATCCAAAATACATTTAAACACTCATACACTGATATCTCTGCTGGAACCACCTATAAAGCTAACAGTTTATTTAATTATATTATTTCACTACTCAACTATATACACTGTGCAAATATTTCATATGTTATATATTTATTTTATATACTTCTTCACATATCCCTACAATTATACTAGTTCTGCTTACATACACATATAGGTATATGTGGTATACTGTACTATACATACACATCATACCAATTTAATTTAGAATAACAAAAATATAACAGATTGCAAACACCACACACAGCAACAATTACCGACTAATCTACTTATACTAACAGACTAATCTAACATCTACTGTTAAGATTTCTATTATTTATCAACAGTGTGCTGCTACTCCTGTTTGTATTTAACCTTTTTGTGCATTTTTATTGTTGTTTTAGTGCTGTACTGCAGCTGGAACTCCCAAGGGATTCACAGAAAGTTTTATCTATCATTCTAAATGCATGCATTTTCTTTTCAAACACTGATCTCGCAGTCCCACAGTTGACAGCTGCTGTCAGCTGATCCTGTCAATACATTTTTGGTGTCCCCTGAGAAGAGCCAGTTAGGGAACATTGCATGTATCATGGCAGCAATTGATGAGTGTACGCTGGGGTCAACTGTGTCAGGATTACACATTTACTTGGTACAATAACCGAAAGACAATCACAATATTACAAGTATTATGTTTTTATTACAACACTGTGCTGATGCATGATAACATTACCTTTAATGTCAAAACATCGTTGCACTATGCCAATCTAGCATACTGCAACAATCTGCACTTGTTTATTGTTTGTGTTCACCTTCACGTTGGTTATATTTTCTGACGCTACTCAGAAAATGTTAGGGCCTTCATATCACTAATTATTAGTGATATCAACTTATGACGAAAAATTACTTAACTACTGAAACTAAGAATCATTTCAACTTGTATCAAACGCTAACGTTAGCTGCCGAGACACATATGCTAGAGTAAATTACACTAACGGTCTCATCCGAACGACTACCATTTCTAACAAAATACAAGCGATAATTGTTTTAAAAAAACCCACCATTTCAATCAATCAAATGTAGCCACCGTGCCCAGTTCTTTGATTTAACGCCCTCTGGACGCCCAAACGGCTAACACTCGTGTCTCATGAGCCGGATGCGCAATCGGAAATAATGACCGTACAACGTATTCCTTCTTCCGTTGTACGAACGTTCCAATATCAGCGCATACCGCTGACATTCACTTTTTTTTTTTTTTTTAGTTTAGTCTCTTAGAACTTTTTCTTTGATAGAAAGAGCGTGCTTTGAAGACTGTAACAGAAAATCCCATTGGTGAAAATCTACCAAAATAAATAATTTAAATACAAAATCATTTGAAATATTTGGTTATTTCTAACCATATGGCAACATTCACTTCTAACGGACATATTGTCCAGTATGTGCAGAGTGTGTTTTTTATTCTTCGTTAGACTGGCTGCAATGAATGATCCCAACTTATACATGTGGTATGTGGCAAAAGACAGCAAATATAAAAAGTGCTTATGCTTCTTATATCTTTATTGTAAACAGCAGTTTTGAGGGGCTATGAAAAAAAAACGTCTTGCAGATATTAAATAGGAAAATGGGGAAAATATATAAATCATAGTAGAAATAAAAACCTCTTTTAAATAAAAAAATACACAGACGTTCAGCTTGAAGCTTCCCTTCAACCAAATACTAACATCTTCTGTGTTACAGCATCGTCTTGGCAGTTTCACAATTTCAAAGTCACTAGATTATGTCATTTTATAAATGATCAACAGAAACAACTGAAATATTGCTTAGGAATGTCGTGTACAGCAGTCATTACAAGGAGAGAGACTGGAAAGAGGGAGAGAAGAGTGTGTGATTCACGACAGGAGTGCTTTTATGGCTGATTTAGGAAAAGCCACTGTGTGGGTGTGTACAGTATACAACAAGCAGTCGTGGGACCATAAACATTAGACTAAAAAAATTAAGCCTCTCACTGTAGGACAGTGTCTGGGTTTTGAGGATGGACTTATTCTAACAGTCTTCAGTATAATAAAGTAATGGGGCAGCGAGAATATAAGGGTTACTTCATAAGAGAAATCATCTGGAAATATTTCCTTCAATAACAAGAAGACTCTTGGAAAACGATTAGCTGCCACAAATACCATGAGAGAACATGTGACAGAAAAATACTGCTGGGAAGTTGACAAGAGAACACAGATCCTCTCCTGTTGCTCTCTGCTCCTGACCCACAAAACCAACCATCCCTACCCACAAAAGCCCTGAGGAAAAATAATAAGACGAATATAAAGGATAAACAAGAAGTAAGCCGTGTCAAATGGAATTTCTAAGCTTTTTGTATTCAACAGAAATGACAGCTGGCACCGCAGCTGAGGGGGAGAAACATCAGTACAGAGGGGGGAGCGAGGAAGGAAGGAAGGAAGGAAGGAAGGAAGGAAAGAAGGAAAGACGGAAGGAAGGAGGGAAGGAAGGAAGGAAGGAAGGAAGGGAGGAAGGAGGGAAGGAAGGAGGGAAGGAAGGAAGGAAGGAGGGAAGGAGGGAAGGAAGGAAAGAGGGAAGGAAGGAAGGAAGGAAGGAAGGAAGGAAGGAAGGAAAGAAGGGGGGAATGCAAAATAATAACTTCCTGGTTTCTCATCTTAATAGCAACCAGAAGAGTCATAGTCCCTCCTGTGCAATTGTTTATGCACTACTTTCTCCATCACAGAGGTCTATTTAGAAGAAAGAGTAAAATAAATCCTACTTCTGTCAATCACATTTCTTTTCAAACATCACGTGGGTTCATTCGTGTTTGTTCCAGTTTAAAAAGAAACAGGATTGGTCCGGTAGGTACAGTAGGTTCTGGACGGATCTGGTTTGGTTCTGGTACGATTGTTTTGTCTAGTTACAGTCGTAAACAAAGTCATAGTTACTAGGTTCTTTGGGAATTGGGGGCGGGGCCTCAGGGATCTGGATATTTTCTAGATCCAAGAGGCGGAGCTTCATTTCCATGGAGAGCAGGGTGTCCATGTCAGATTTGGTGTAGTCGCTGGTCATCTCCTTCCCCAGGAGGGCGTTGAGACCGTCTGTCCACACGCAGTACTGCGGACACATGGACAAAGTGAGATCTAAAATTCAACCGGCAGTGAGAAAAAAGCAGAATCATTAACACACATCTTGTAAAATTCCACCGACTATAATTAGAAGTGTGACGTAAATGGAGTCAGAGGAAGCAGCTGACAACATGGAGGCGCCACCTGCTGTGGGGACGTGAGGTCAAACCAGAGACACAGAACACCAGGGGAGGGGACTGGTGGTGACTCAGATGTAACAGGGACAGGGACACCTTCATCTTCTCCCTTGTTCTAATTACAAACTTATTTATATTGTTGGCCAGAAAAGCTGCTGGATGCAAAAGGCCAAGGGCGATGATTAAAGTCAGAGGCGGAGAAAAAAAAAAAGTAATATGTTCAAGTTGATGATGTTGCTGAAGGTCAGGACACAGAAAGAACATTTTGGTGAGAGACATACATTTCCAGGCAAGGTAAATAAATATTTTAGCAGCACAGCTGCCATCTTGGTTTATCATGTTTCTACAGCTTCCTGAACCCATTTAGAATTCCCATTTTTGAAACAACCCAGAGATAGTTACTATGAAACATTTTTGTTTTTACTAAAAGTACAATAAGGTGTTTTCAGTCTTCAGTTGAATTTGTTTAACTTGATCTGAATATAAGCTTTTCATAAACAAATATTAATTCAGCTTGTCCTAAAAGGAATTCACGTACATTAAGTAAAGATCATCACACATTTTGACATTTATGTTTTAAAGAAAACAACTCGTTCAGTGACGTTGGTTCATCTTACCTCACGTTTGTCTGGTGCAATAAAGTTTAAATATTCGTCTGACTCATAGAGGACAGAGAAGGCCAGCTCCAACACCTCCTGAAGAGAGGATGGATAAGAAGGAGAGGAGTGATGAAGAGAGGAGGAGACAAAAAAGGTGAGTGGAGTGGATTGGACACTCAAAAAGACTTTAACAATATTAGTTTTCAGAACCTGACAGTGTAGAGAGGAAGTCGAAGGGGAGGTATGCAAGCCTTTAAAGGTCCACAGGATAACTACAGGGTGGTCGCCACTCTTTTGGCTGAGCAGACCCAAAATATCTTTGTAGCTTAACAGCTAAATCTGTTGAGGTTAAAACGTTGACAAAACCTGGTATAAAGGAAGAATTTACTGTCTAAAACCCATGCGACTGTGAGATTACAATTGAATGCAGGACAGAAAAAGAATGATAAAACTACATTTGTATATATAAAAATAATTTATGAATATGCGATTATGCAACTGGCGTGAAATGACAGTCTGATTTATTAAGGCAGAAAACAATTATACAATCTGGGCCTCTGCACAATTAATGAGGCAGAGCTGATAAAATGCAGATGAGATGGAAAAAAAAAAGTGGAGATGCTACTTCTCAACAATTATTTGAAAGTTCATAAAACCTGTGCTTCAATCTATTTAAAATACATACAGTTTTGGAGAAAAAGATGTAGATGTAGTTTAATGTAACTTTTACCACCATCATACTGTAGTTAATGCCACTGCAGGATGAAATAATACTACAGCATTATAGGATGAAGTATAAACAAACTGGACAATTCAAAGTGCTGGTTATAAAGACTCAACACACTCAATGGCTGTAAAAGGACGCCATGTTTGATTTTCTTCTGTCCTCCAAGTTTCATTTTCTACTAAATTCTGCACCAACCGACAGAACAACATCCAGACTCATTGTATGAGTGGCAGACATTTAGGTGATCATGTCTTTTTTTATATAAAAAAAAAAGCACACCTCGAAGGCAGCTCTGCTACAGTAATGAGCTGTAAAGTGCAGTATAAATGGCAGGCAGACTGCTGCTCCAGGTCGAGGGAGGCAGTTTGGTAAATGACATGCATTTCTTGACTCGTCTGGAATGAGGCAAAGACGGCTCTGTGTACACAGGGCACTGAGTAGGAGATCATTTCAAAATCTATTACCAACTCCATTTTCAAAAAGACTGCTTCTCTTCCTGGAAAACTAAAAATAAATACTCAAATCTACACTTGGAAAACGTCTTCGTTCAATATGTATCTATGTATCTATGTATCCTTTTCCCTGATGTTAAAACACCTCCTTTCATCCTGATCTTCATACTGTAGCCACACCTGTGACCTCTGACCTTGGAAATTCTCATTATTTTGCAAAAGAGACTGCTAATCGCGTTAACAAAGTTTTTGTCAGTGTGTGACTTCAGGGCCACAGCTCGTCCTCCTCACTCTCTGACCTCAGCCTTTACTGTGTGTCCACACATCGCTCCATGTGTCCTCTACTCCTGTCGCCTGCAGAGGTGACTTTGTGCAGCCTTGTAACAGTGTGAGTAATGAATGCTGCTGTTGTTCTCATTCACACAGCTGGGACAGACCCACCCCGAGCACCCCGGACCCCCCCTCAGGTCATTCTTCACGGCCCGCACTTATCGACAACGTAATAAAAGAGACAAAGTAGAAGGGAGCCGCGCTCCTTTGTCTTCATGGCTATTTGGTCCAAAATCCAATAAATCTGGGTCCCATGGAAGGAGGAGTGGGAAGACGGATGTGTCCACAGATGCAGACGAGACGGCTCTTTCCTCCTGTCCGAGGAACCGCAGAGGGCACAGAGGGCGTGTCTCTGACAAATTTAACCAGGCCAATGATAATCTGTCAGCGTGTCCACTGCCTCTTCACAGAAGATTATTCTCCGATTTATTTCTGCACAGCGTCGGCGACGGCTGTGTCTGAGACACAAGTGTGTGTTGTGTGATATCCTAGAGTGAATTTATGTAAACGACATCATGTTATGCAACTTTCACGCCACAAGAAACACATTCTCCTGCCCGGATACACACACACACACACACACACCCCCACACGGCGCAGTAGTCGCACACATGCACGAACCTTATTTTGCTTCAGGGCTCCTTTCTCCTTCATGTGAGGACAGTCCTTGCCGGTGATAACAGCTTTGATATCAGCCACCGGCACTAGAGGAGAGGACAGATGCTGGATCACAACAACGGCAACAACAACTCTGTCACAGCTGTGTCAATCCTGGCGGGTTGCTGGCATATGAAAGTGATTAAAACACGCACACACACACACACATACATACAAAAGCCATGTTGCTTTTATTAGCATGTACTCACATTTGTCCTGTAAAGAGTCGTGAGGCACCTCGCCCTGAGGACTCTCCTCCAAATCTCCATAGTGCAGGACTTTATGGTTGGGAGACAGACGGCAGTACCAGAATTTATCTGCAAGACCAGATTAGGAGAGAGAAGAGAATTAAGGAGGAGAAGATGCCACAAGTTTGGAAGAGCTCTGAAATAACTCCCCGCTCAGGGGCATCATATGGGATGGGATGATTCATCAACAGTTGATGAAAATAATCAGGCCAAAAGAATTCTGTGACAAAAGGGAAGAAAAAGGGAAAACAGCCGTGAGGAAAAGCCACAGATGGTCGTGGAAGTCACGTGTATCAGAGAAGGGAGAGTTTTAATGAGGCTAAAAAAAACAAAAACCCAAACATGGCAGATGGCTTTTATCATTATTACAATGATTCAAAAATATCACAGAAACACCTGAATGAAGAGAGAACAGCTTCAGGTTTCTACGGCTGAGCACGGAGACGACAGAACACGACGTCTGGACGTGAGACCTTGTGGATCAGTTCTTGTTAGCATAACTAATGACGATCAACAAAGAATTATTTAATTTAAATTCTTACGGTGGCGTCACTGCTAAGGTGGGCAATATTTAGAGCTGGCAGGGACTGCAAAGGTGTGTGTGTGTGTGTGTTTATGTTTTCACTGCTGTAAACAGAGCGTCTAAGAAGGCTGTCTGTTGGCAGGTGGCACCAGTCCATAGGAAACAGACAGAGCTGTGTGTTACAGATGTGTCAGGAAGGCACACAAATATATATTATATATATATATTATTTTGCCTGGAAGATGATTCTTCTTTTTCAGATTTTATCCTTCCCATGTGTCAAACTCAGGCCCGGGGACCAAATCTGGCCCCCAGTGTGATTATATTCGGCCGCTGAGATCATATCAAATGTGTGCTAGAGTTGGCCCACCAGTATACAGGCCCTATGTACTGACAGAAACTGTAGCATTAGCAGTGTATGTGGTATGGTATGGCACATACATTTTGTTTTTTTGTTGTTGGCCTGTTAAAACAGATAAAGACACATAATAAGAAACAAATACTAATTGATGTGTCTTTTATTTCAAATTTAATTTCTCATGGGTTTATAATATTAACCTTTGGTTGTTCCTGCGGACCACTACCATACTGTTAATTTCATTAACCAACGTGCTTCCTGTTCCATCTTAAACAGACAAACCCTTTCTTGTGACTGAAGAGTTAAAAACAAAAGTTAAAAAGTTTTTTTTCCTTTTTTATGTTTATGACGTCTAAACTGGTGAATATTCAATGTCAAAATCATCTGTCACCTCAAAGGTAGGGTGCAGGGGCTGGGAGGATGCCGGGGATGGAGGACCATCATTTTATCAGACCCAGTCTATTACTGTTCCGTTATAAATAACTCTCTTAGTTTGAAACTAACTTTAAAAAGAGAGTTTTCAAACATCTCTTGTTCATTAATGAAGTTTTCAGTTTAAAACTCTCTCTGCTCTGATTTCTCTGTTGTCTGGAGCTGCTGGAACTGACTTATGAAAGGTTTGGTACATGTAGTGCTGGTACTCTTTCTCCTGCACATTAACAGCACCATTAGATGAGGAGCTTTCAGAGAGAAGTAACGTCTGGACTGGCACTTTAAAGGAAAGAGGAAAAGCCTGTCTGAGAAGATGGAGCAGGAAGTTACGCTGATTAATATTGGATGAACACTTCTCTCTCCGCACCAAGGAGGACGAGAGGAGTTACACTGGATATGGACCAACCACAGAATTCCCGCATATCAAATTAAATTACTTGTGAAGATGAGGACAAAAATAAGAAATCATTTTTAATATCTTACGTAAGCAACGCCCACATTTTGATTTTATTTTAACCGTGTGGATTTTTCACACTTCTCAGATGAACTCTGAGAATCAGACGGCGATGGGAGAAAAGGGCAGGATGGATCTGTGAGATTGGAGAGAAGAGCGAGAGCAGCGGCTCCAGTTCAGACATGGGACTGTGTTCACACAAGCACGAGAGTTGAAAATTGAAAAACTAAGTGAAGGCTTCAGGGAGTAAGGATGTAAAGAAGTCAGGAAGATGTGGCCTAGTGGACTGGAGTGTCCTCAGAGACAGAGACGGTAGAAGGCACACAGACTTTTCCAATTTTTCCAAATTGAATTGAATTTGGTTTGATTCATTTACTGTGTGTGGGTCCTTATCTCAGGGCAGTTGAACGTTAAACTAAAACACAAACTATACACATTTCTGTTGGATTTAATAAGTATTATTAAGAAGGGGAGTTCCTCTGGGAGAGCCAATGACGACACTACTTTCTTTTTTTAATATACTGAAACCAATGGCGAACGGTGGAAATAACAGGATGGGTCAATCCTTAAACTGAAATGCACTTTATTACTCAGGCTAAGTGATGCCACTGCTGCTCTTCCTCCCTCTCTCACCGCTGGCGGTGAATGTGAAACATGATCGGCTGAATGAGCTGAACGCACTCTTCATACCAGGTGAAGTTCCTGAGCTTTACAAGGAAGAAAAAAAGAGGAAGCCGATGGTGACGTCTGCCAGGGCAGAAATGATGGGAGTGGTGAAGCGTCAGGAGCCACAGCTTTGTGATTTTAATCACATCCTCTGTCATTCTTTCATTAGCTCCCACTGGAGTTTAATCTCTGGAAGTGCAGCGCATTAATGGCTTTGCATGTCTTATGTCTGTGAGTGCACGGGCTGTGATAAAGAGGAGAGGGAGAGGGAGAGAGAGAGGGAGAGAGAGGGTATCATGACTTATTATTTATGTGTTGGAATAACTTCTCCCTTTTATCTGTACCTCAAAAGGGAGAGAGCCAGAAAAGCTGTTTGAGAAATGTACCATAAGGACAGCAGCACTGGAGTCGGAAAAATCCCCTGAGATAAACGTATGTCCTGAGGAGCTGTGACGTGACTGAGGGACTCTGAAGACGATGAGATGAGAGAGAGACGGAGAGGAGACTTTATGTCTCCTCTCCGGGGTGAGGTGGGGTGAGGTGTGAATTTTAATGCTTATGGTTTTTTTTTTTTATATAATTATCAAAGTCATGTTATTCTTATTCACTTCAGGAATAAGTAAAAAGTTTGTAATTTCTTTAGATCTTTTTCAGGAGTTTCATTCTATTTGATCAGGTTTTTTAACCCTCAAAAAGTTTGAGTGTAAACATCCAATTTGTCACGAAACCTGAATGGAAACTTGTTGAAAAGATTCAGGTTTTTTCTTTCCCTTTAGCTGATAGAACTGGATTTCACTAATGAGAAAACATCCGCCAGAAATTCTCTGATATAAACACTGTCTGTAAGTGTTGGTATTTCTGTGACTTTGTTCGTCTACTTCTCCCACCTTGTCTCCGCCGACTGCTGATTTTCCTGAAACAGGTTCCCTCACACAGCCTGTTGAGCCGCTGCTGTTTGATCAGCTCCATGATCTCTGGCTGGATCTTCTCTCTAAGCTCCCTGCACATAAGAAAAAAAAATATAGAGTTTATAATTAAGGTCAGTGGGTGGTCAAAACTTTAAGAGCCAGGGGCTACATGTAGCTTTGACAATAACTCAGTCAATTTGTCTGTAAACTGAATTATTGTCTGCCTCTTTAGAAATGTATTTAATTTGAGAGGAATTATTTTATTTTATCAGTAAGGTCATCAGATTTTAGAAACCAGATATGATATAAAAATAATGCTTGTATAAAAAAAGGCATATTATAAAATATTACATTAAAAAATAAAATATGGTTCAAACTACTAATTACTATTTAAGAAACTGTTAAAGAAATTACAAACATGAAAATGAAGAAATACTATTTTTTTAAGAAAAAAGTAACAATTGATAATTAACTACAATTTGATTCATTTGTCAAAAAATATATAAAATTTGCTTAAAGACAAATCTATTAATGAGAAATATCAAACTGGGCAAAAATTAATATAAAATATTTACTCCCAAACTTACTCCTTGATTAAAAGCAGCTGAAAGTTTGTCACAAAATTAATACAATATTACATTTTGGACATGACTGATTAAAGAACATGATCCAAATTTTGTAGATCATACCGCTCCCTTGTGGCACGGCGGTGTAAAGCCGTGACACCCAGAGTTTTATCACATTCGGCCCATTTCTCTGGGAGCAGACCATGTTAATCTGATACAAAGTGTCAGCAGGAGACGGGCTCTCCAGAAAACACAGAGAAATATGAAATATGCTGTGCACGTCCCCAGTGGGCTGATCATCTGTGTCGCTGTTTTCGCTCCAGTTCCTGATTAAATCACTCATTTATTCATACACATAAATGCATGTGAGCCACTGTTTCATAAGAATGCAGGGCGCACTACACGAGTTGGCATGAATTATAAATGGTATCCACAGGAGAGCTGCAGCTTCTCATCTTACCACAACATTCAGTCAGTTCTGGTTTTGTTTCCCTCTTCTCTCTCCGTCTCGTGCATACATTTGCAGGTTTTGTTGTGGTTTGAAGATTTAAAAATCACAGTAAATTTCCAAAAGATGAGACATTTTTCTTTCCTTTCTGCACCTTTGTCTTCCTACTCTTCTGAATTATTCCCACCTGTTTGCTCTTATCCTGTGTGTTTACCTGATCACTGGCTCTTATCGTTATATTGATCTGAGGTTTCTTTAAGAAACAGTGAGGAGTGAAGCTGATCACAGGCTGGACTCGTCTTCACCGCCTGGTCCCTGTGGCTAGTCCCGACACACAGAATTATGGTCCTGCTGTGTCTTTACTCTCAGGAAGTAACTCTAACTTCATTTAAGACTTGCTCTTTTCAGCAAATGTACAACCACTTTGCTGCAAGGCACAAATGGAAAAACTTAAACATATTGAGTGATTTATAGTATACACAATATAGGTGATTTTTCCAGGATGTTTTGTAATCAAGGCCTGGATTTAACAACTGTTAATGTTAATGTAACTCCAAACCAACAAAAGCCTAAATCCCGTCAGCCGTCGACACGACACGGCTTTGTTTTCAGCCCAGACTATTCACAGAGACAAAGCTCTGCGGCTCTGCGGCCGTAATGGCTCCTCTTCACTTCCCTCTGATCTCTGGATCCACTGCCAACCGTAATTGGCAGCAGAAAATTGGCAGCAATTCTAGCAGGTAACACGGAGCTCCTTTAAATCTGCGGCCCGACACGCTGTGCTCATTATGTTTACAAGTCATGACGGCACAGTATTGATTAGAGGAAAATTCCATGCTCTGGTCTCCTCGTTGTGCTGCAGAGAGACTCATCAGTCCGTGGTGCTCTGAGCGTCATTTCTAACATGTGATAAACTGCTTTATTTTTCTTTGCACTGTCGGATTCCATCACTCAAACGCGTATTTGTTTTTCTAAACTACAAACACTGAAGGTGTGTGGTTCTGAGGCTGCAGCAACCACGGCGATAAGAACTTTACATCTGCATATTTGTGAATATCTGAACACTTTTCTAAAGGTATGACCCGGCCTGTCTGCAGTCTGGTTTCATCCTTTTGAAAATGTCTAGAGCAGAGAAATAAAAACTAGTGGGCCTAATACTCTGAAAAGTTTCTTTAGGTTGAGTAGCATCACACAACATTTTCCCTTTTCTTCTCCTTCCACTGATGCTAATAATTGACGACAAAAGTTCACCCCCCCTCCCTGTATTGATTTGATAAGCCCTTGACTCAGCATTGATTTTTAACCACACAGACGCGCTCTTTGTGTGAAACAATTTTTCAATGCTGCTTGTTACTCCGTTTAATTCAGGAAAACAATGTTCTCCATTACGGATCCTGCGTCTGTGATCAGCCGGTGAATGATCAATTACGGAGCAGCTCTCTCTCTGCTTAATAAGCTCAAGGGTTGTTAATGGAGTATTCAGCCAGGACGTCGATTCTCATGCAAATTTTCCATCACTGAAAAGAACGCACAAGTGCAGCCAGAGTTTGGCAGGAGCTGGAATTTGGCAAAAGGAAAATGATCATAAATAGAAAACCCTGGATGAAAATATACTACATTTCCTGATATTCAGTTCTAAACCTGTCACCCCTCCAGAAACAACACTCATTAATGACCACCCATTCATCGTACTCCTCATTGGTTGACTCACAGGATTGGTCGGGACTGGAAATCTTCTTGGTTCATTCTTTCGGACTGGCGTATCTTCAGGATTTCTGTGTAGCTCAGATTCTGCAGGCGACTCTTGAACTGGTCCAGAGAATTAGGCTTGAGAGTCAGTGCACGCATGATCTGCTCCCTCACCACCTGCATTACCTGCAGAGGACAAGAGAGAGGAGGACACGTTGAGGAAAATCATCACGTCCGCCAGAAACACATGAGGAGGAGACACTCTGTCTTTGTTTTCAGCCAGAGAAACAGACACCTCAAAAGCATCCGTCCTATTTGTGGACCAAGGAAAGCACAAAAGTGTCTGCTCCAGACAGGATTAATGATGTATTTTCTCTCCCCAACTGAAGCCCCTTAAAAGGAGAAGAGCAATGTAGAGAATTTCATCTATGGCTTCTCAACTGTGCGCCCCCAGTGAAATGCATGACAGAGCTTTTCTTATAATACCGAGGCAGCTAATAGCATTAGTCTGGCTGTAGCAGCACAGCGTGAGTGATGTTCCGAGTCATCAAACCCACTGGAGGGGTCTTTGTGATCAACCGAGTTAACAGTACAATGAAAGAGTGCTTCATGGAAACACACATAAAGCACATCACGAGGATCCAGATCAATTAGGTTGCTGCATATGCATTACTGTCAGCGGATAATTAAAGTCTACACACATTCTCTCCTCACTTGGACAAGCAGGCAAACGCTCGGCTGACAAGTGCATACGCCGGCAAGACTGATGCGATAGAAATCAATTAGCATCATTAAAATTTAATGATATGAACACTGAGCGGGAGGCAATAACAGGAGCAAACAGCAATTACCTCCGCACTACCTAGACAAACAAATACGGCTCTGTTTTGCAGGTGAAATGGAAAAAGAATTAGTGTAGTACCACTAATGGCCAGCAGGAAAAGACCTCTTCTGACCTCTAAATCTATACATTTTTCATATATTAAAAGTATATATTGAGTGCTGGTTTGTCTTCATTTTAATTAAAGTTCTAATACCAAACTGGTTCTGACTGGTTTGGGGTGCAGTCTTAAAGTAGTGCTGAACAGACCAGACTTGCACAACTTAGGGCAGTGTTTATAAAGGGTTAATGATAGTTTTGTGAAAACATTTTAACAGCAACAAACCCAAACATAGTCTCAACTTCCTGTCAATAGTTTATGAGCTGCTTCTCCTCGTGTAGGAACTCCACCCTGGCTCTTTCTTTCTTTCTTTCTATCTTTCGTTTCTACAAATGGTGCAGCAGCTACTGCAGAAGTGCTGGTGGCAGATGTATCACGCAGCCCTAATGATGGCTCAGCCCTGTTAGCAGCTGCCTCTGGGCTTTCAAATGCTGATTCACTGGATCACTTTGGTACTAAGGTGAAGATGTACAGCGGCCCGTCCCTCCCTCCCCTGTTCTCTGTGATTTTGCCCTGTTGTGTTTCCACTTCTCTCCGTTTCCCTTGTTGAACAAATGCTCAATGATGCACAGAGGTTTATTCAATCTCAGCAAAATGACTTCATACTGAAACATCAGGATAAAGCAGGAAAATGAAGAGTGTGGTTTATGTTAATATTTACTGTCTTATATTTACGTTGGAAACCGCTGGTCCGTGCCTGTGATTTTGGCTCCTTCATCATCACAAAATTCCAAATGTGTTCCTGTGTGAAACCGTTTGTGCCTATTGAGAGGAAATGACTCTTCAAGTCACTAACCTTTAGATCCTCAGTGGACACGTTAGGCCAGAGGCAGAGGATATTAAACACATGAAATATTTTAGCAGTTAAAATTCAGTTGTGACCGGCACGAAGCTTGGACCAGCACCAGAACATCCTCAAACAACTTTATGGTTATTATGAAAAAATAGATAAATTAATTCATCTTGATTATATTTTTATATTAGATTTTTCCAAGTACAGAAGAAAAGTGAATATAAAGTATGTATTTTAATCAAAATAAGATTTGAATTTGAAGAATTTGAAGATTGAAGACAAAATTTTAAAAAATTCTCGTAGAGATAATATGTCAACTAATAACTGGGAAATGGACTGCTTGCAAAAAACTCCCACTCTGCAGTTAGGCAGTGCTGCAGCGGTGTTTCACAAATTTAGTCAGATTTATTCAGAACGCCCGGTGGAACCAACTACGGAGCACGAAATGCCTTTTTAACGACGTCTCAATCTGAGCGGCATTAAGTCAGAGACACCACATTAGTGACAGAAGTGGACTGATGAGGGTGTCTGTGTTTGAGATGGGGGGGAGGCGAAAACAAAACAATGCATTGATATTTCTGTGACAAAGTCTCAGCATGTACGTCGTTAGCTCCATTAGCACGGTTAAAATAAACAGCGGTCCTTCAGAAGATTATTAATACACGGAGAGGAGACGCAGAGAAGTCGGGGGGAGGTGGGGGGAGAAATGATCGTCTGTATATTAATACAGTTGCTGTCTGAAGAAAAATACATTGTTTTTCTCAAATTAAAAAAGACAGACACGAAGAGGGCTGAGAGTTCATCAGGTAATGTAGCAAAAATGCTAATATTCTGGCTAATAGTGCAGAGACAGGTGAGCACAGGTGTCTCACCCTTTCTTTCTCACCCATCTCTTTCTCATGTCAAAGGGGATGGAGAGTGTATTACTGCATGTATTATGAAGTATTACTTATGTCATCAGAATCTATGACAGTATAACTAGAACAAAGCATTACATTAGTAGTAAAAACACGTTTTTTGAGCTCTTGAAAACTATGTTCACTTCACTGCTGGAGTCACCAGTGTGGAATCTGAGTCCACTGGTTCACTGGAAGAGCAGGGGGTTCACGACTTATCTTTCTTCATCTTAAAGTCTCCTTAACAGACAAAAAAATAAATAAAATTTACTCAGAAGAATTTTAAAAGCACTTAAAACAGTCATGCAATTATTCAGGTTTTCTTAAAAAACCTACTTCATCACCACAAGCCCAGTGCCAAATTAGCCATTCAATGATTTTCAGAAAGGGACTGTAACACAGGAGAGGAAAAAGGCGAAAATGAAGTGCAATTAGCCGTGCACAATGTTGCTGACGTTAGATGGTGAAATTCACTGGTGCAAACAAAGGCTTGTTGCTAAAAGCACCAAGAATCAGAAATGAACTGCAACACGTGTCGCAGCTTCTTAGTATGGAAGCCCCGAGTGAGATGAGAAACGACCAGACCGCTGTTGGAAGTCACGCTTTACCATCACGAGATCGTGGGCTGCTACTCATTCATGTAAACAAACAACAGCATACTATAAATAATCCTGATAACTGGGCGCTAGATTAATAATATTCCTATTTGTCTCCTTATTTTTGTCTGTCTTGAATGAGCAGTACTCCACTGAAGGTTATTTAAAATAAAAAGAAAGAATAAAAGAAGACAATACGTAGCTCGGGCTAGCATTTACTCACAGTCTCATATGGAACATTCATTTTTGTGGCTTTTCTATAACAAAAAAAACAAAACAAAGAGCACTCTGGACTAAATGCCACACCCAGGGACACATCGGCATACAGACCACAAAGGTAGTGGTCAAACCTCGGACCCTCTCTGCCCAATAATCCACAGCTACCTTCAGCCTACTCAGGTGGACAGTCAGTCTGCAGAGGAGACTACAGACTGACTGTCCACCTGCAGCTCACTCCTCAAACTCATCCTGATCTCCAGAGATCCGTGGAGCTGTCCCTCGGGAGCCTTCATTAATATGCCTCGTTTGCAGTCATGTCTCTGGCAGCAAAACAACTCTGTTGGCCCATGTGGCTGCACTCAGGCTAATTAACACTGTGAATATTCATCACATTTAAAAGAAACACATGGTCCTTTTCACAACAGGACGCAGAGTTGTACGGCGTAAGGTCAATATGAATATGGATATTTAAATCTGCGTCTTTTTTTTTTCCACCGGCCGACTGTTTCTGAGCACCGTGGCAGAGGTCACATGATGTCAGTGTTTGAACAAAGTTTCCCACCCATTATGTAGGAGCGTCTTCAGAGGACTGAAGTCTTGGGTCGTTCGCCTCGTGCTCTTTGTCACATCCTTGTTGATCCCAAATTGATCGCTTCTCTTTTGTCCACCTTTATTTCCACCTCTCATTTTTTACGTTCTCTTTCACTCTCAGTAATCGGTTCCAGACAACGGCCATTACTCTTCCTAGCAGCTCCTTCACAGCAAATTTAGGAAGCAGAGCGACCGTCGGCCAAAGCACTTAAACACGGGTCCATGAACCATCCAGTACACATAACAATCCTGCCTCCTTTTAGTTCCTGCTCAAACAGAGCAGATCCAGAGTCTGGTTCTGCTGGAGCTGCCTGGGCTTCGGTCACTGACCACGTGTCAGCCATGATAAATCATCATTCCCCCTCTTGGTGACCAATCGACTGTCGCCGCTGCTCCATTTCCCTAAGAGCTAATGCTAATGACATCATTTAGCAGCTGTCAGTCAAGTGTGTTTCTGCCATTCAAACAGCGGCTGTGAAAACCTCACACAGGAGAGGGTCTTTGGTGAGCGAATAGTGAGGCAGTAATGACTTTTCTGTTACTTCATGGAAAACAATCAAAAAGTCAATCCTATTTGGTGATAATCTGGTTGTCTCTAAAGTCAGTTTCTGCCTCGTAGGCCATCGAAGTGAAAAGAAAAAACACAAGTGCTGCCAGATTGGGTCTTTTTTTCAGGAGAAAAAGGAGAATTCTTTCCCCTCGTTATTGATATGGTAATTACTTCTTCCCCGTTTGCCTCTGAGTCCCACATTTAATGAATATTTTGTTCTTCAGAGTTGACAATGATGTAATTAAAAATAAAACAATGCCAGGAAGGAGGGAAAATCGTCTCTTATCAAAGTGCGCGGCTGCAGACTAAGCTGGAACAAGTCATAAATGATGAATGCACTCGCCCAAAATACACATCTCAGTTCTAATTAACCGGGACAACGGCAAACACCAGATCGGATCAAGCCCACATAATGTGAAGATGACTCGTCTTCATGTCGACACACAAGTATCATTTCCTTCTGCTCTCCTTATAAAACAGAAGTGACGCTAATCTGTGCCAACAATGCCAACTGTTGTGGTCTTGGCTCTCCATCAGTCACAGGGACCGTGTGTGAGAACCAGGCACAATAAGACACACAAACGTCTGACGGGTTTTAGA